CTGAGCGTTCCAGTCGAAAGTTCAAAACATAATTTTCGATCCTTACTGGTTCCTATCCATTTTTTAAATGTTAGTTGTGAGAATATGTGGTACATCAAGACAATGGTGATCACAGCTCTGTTTGACAATGTATGATAATTATAAGGAGAAATACGATTTTTATCACACTTGGGAAAGCTCCTCCTTTGAAACTCTCGTTTATTTGTAAAAAAGTTGCTACTCTGCCAGTTATACACTAAACATCTCGAGCTGCCCTTGTTGTAATAATTATGTGTCAAATATTGTGCGTAGTGAAACGAATATGTTGTTATTGATAGAATAAAAAATATTGGGCGAGGTGTGTGCTATCTTTAATGTGACATCAATGTTGAGGTAATGCTGCAAGCCGGAGCCGAAGGCTGATAACATAAACCGAAACAGTTGATTGTTAGTAAATATATCTTATTAGACATTTTGCTGACCTTGGTATGGTTGTTTATTTTACGAGTGTTCTCGGGATCTCTAAAAAAACGACTGAACGACGAGTAAAAATGTACAGCGAAAATACTCACCAAAATGCCAAATAAGAGATTCATTATCCAAACATCCGAAATCTAGACTTTGATCCGTCGGGAGAACTAAGAGGACTACCCATAACCTGTTAAACCGGTCAACGATATTTGTAATTTGTACCTTACTGAGTGGAATTGGGTAATAAAGCGATTTTTTTTGTGGGATTCGATTCAGGTTTGAAATCGGACCACAAATTTATACACGTACGCGCAACTGGACCTGTTACAGATTAAACATCACGCATGCGCTGATGTCGAGAAGTAGCTTTATGTTCAATGATCTGGAAGGGACGTCAACACATTGAGGTTGGCCGGTTAGGCCACGGTTTTCTCAAACCCTGTCTAAACTTTGTTTAAATATTCGGCCCATTATGTTCGACCTGTGTGCGTATACTTTGTGCGAAACAACAGCGCAGATAAAGTCGAAGGAAATGCAATAATAACAACAACAACAACAACAAACAACAAAACTGAAGGAGATTGTCCACGAAAAAAGTTAACCACGTCGGGACAAAGAAGAGGGACGATTTCCCATTTCCAGTCGGAAAAATAGTACATCACTTTTATGCACGCACAAGGCCTTTCAAAACAGTCCATTGTTTTGTTTTGAGACAGTTAATCCAGGCGTCCCAGCCATTTCGTCGTTCACGAAATGCGTATCGCAACGCATGCATCTGAGAGTGTTTCGCTCTCCGCTTATTTTCCTCTTGAAATGTTGAACATGCGCAGGTATGTGTGTCACATTCCTGACACGGATTTCTCAGAGATCTGGGTAAGAGATTGACTTCGCTTGGGTTTGTTAACCAACGTGGTATAACTGTTTTGCTTTTTCTTCGATCACTTCTTATTTCTCAATAAAATGTTGGTAGCCTTTTCTTTCGCTTTTTTTCTTCAAGGAAGTTTATCCTTCTCGTAGTCTTGTCTGTTTTTGTTTTTCAACTCTGTACTCAAACTCCTACATTTCAAACAAAGCAAAGCGGAATTAGAGCAAATCATTTCAAAATATATTTTGCAGGTGTTAGAGGAGATGGCTAACTTCTACCAAACTTGGGTGATCAGTATAGGTCAATATAGCTCAGTATAGATCAGTATAGGTCAGTATATCATCGAGTCAATGGGATGGCAAAGGACCCCCAGCAGTGTCACTCAGTTACCTTTCAGAAATGGCGTGAACTGGTAAACAAGTCGATATCAAAACATAAAACGGAGGACATTACAACTAAAACAGTACATCTACGTCTTGCGAATACGGCGAACGGTTTCTTGCATTCTTCACATTACTTAAGTCTTTGGAAAAATCGATATCCCTTTGGATCGGAGGTGAGTAAAATATGTGTTTTGAGAGCTTGAGGGATTGTTCTTATCTTGCTCCAAATCCTTGCTAAGTTATTATTTATGAACATAAATTTGCTGGTTTAGGGGTAACGGTTTGTGTAAATGTATTTTATATACTTTTGTCGGCGATCGGAATCTAACGGCTCGATCGGAATCAATACGAAGCTCGCACATGGCTACCATGGGTGCCAGAGGCTTTTCTTGCGCGGTTTCTGGTTTCAAGTCTTTATTGTGACCAGGGTAGCACATGGCTAAATATGATAAAAATTGCGTACGAAAACTATCGCATTTAGTTCGCTTTAGAATGTCAGCAGTTGAACACTTGGACGCCCCTACATTTTAGGCCGGAAGATTATTCGAAAGAAGATCAGATATTCCCGACAAGCGATAAATTCGCTCTTGTTCAATTCACGGGATGATGAAAGCAGTCAGTGTAAAGGGAGGAGTTGTGGACTGTGGACTGTGGACACAAAATCGTGTTTTGCAAAAAAGTGTCGAACCAAGCCAATTTCCAAATATTTTCGCTCTAAAGGCTACCCAAGCTTCTCTCTACTGCTTTCACCGAGTCGCCATAGGCTTCCTTTGATTGTTAAGGTGATTCCTCAGAAATAAAAAGTTGTCGAACGATTTTTTTTAACTTTCCCGACCTTTCCCTGAATGTTCCCTACCAAGCACTGTTTCGAAAATACAATAAAAAATATAGGTCACCGTACTCGCAAAAGAGATATGATGGACTAAAATGTCACCCCATTTATGCCTGTACTGGTACTAATCACGCGCGTAGTTATTTCATCGGTTCACGTTACATTTCGCAGTAGCTGGAAGCAAAGTTTATTAAAGTAATACTTGAAAAAAACTTGATAGGTTGAAAGTCTCGGCCACATCGAACAATTTTATAATATATAATTTATGGAAAAATCACACAACTTCAAACGACATCGATTCAAAACGTTCCTCGCGTCGACTTCATGCAAGGTCATAACTCCACACTGACTCGTGGGTCAATTGACAAGTTACTTTTTTGCTTGTCGATATCCAAGAAGTTGGGTGGGAATAGCAACTGGTCCACATAAACGGAGAGAAACTAATTTGACTGCTCGATATTCTGAAAAAAAAAATACTTGTTTTACCGCCCTTGAGGTTTCTTCACAATTTTGAAAATGAGATTCATTCTGGGATGCGGCTAAAACTTCCAGTAGCTGGACATGTGTCAACGGTTTTTGACTTTGCCATGGCAACCGCGTTTTGACATATAGGTTTAGCCAAATTTCGAAATTTTAGACATAATTCTTCGTTCTCGGCATGGCCAGAAATCTCGGACATTTGAGCCCGCGACTTGTTCGGCGGCTTCTTTACAAATAATGTCATTCATGTCGCGAAATGACCTCGATATTTAGAGATTTTAAATCAAGCCTACCTCATTAATCTAAGGCGAAGTCCAAATTGTTCACAGACAGCCTGTTAGCAATCAACGAAACCTAAAAGACCGGCAGAAAACTGTAGGTTTCCAATTTGTATTAAATCGTTGCGTTTTTCAAATTTTACGATACAAGTGACATTATCAAAGCAACAGTATGACGATAGGCTGAAAACAGCATCGCCACCTCTCGATAAATACCTTTCTCTCTGGAACTCGTGAGAGTTTTGACTTTGTTCACAGGGATTTTCAATCCATCGAAGCCACCCTTTAAGACACAGTTGATGACATTTCTCGGGAGTTTATATCCGTTGCGTTTTTAAGATACTTTCTCCTGCAATTTTCATGTTTTCTGCCGCTCCTTGAGATGTTGAAATATGGCTCAGCGCGAAAAGAACGCAACGAAATGCTCTTAAAACCGGATTAAAACATCTTCTCGGTTCGCCATTTTGTTTACTGGCTTTGTAACCTCTCTTTTAAGCCCCACGCGAAAATTAATTATTTTTTAGTAACGAGCTAATTTGTGCGGGAAATTTTAATAAAATTCCAGTTTCAAGGCCTTACAGAACTCTTATGTGACCTTTAGTAATTATTAGGTATATATTCTTTATGTTTCCAGAAATCAAACAGGGTCTGCCTTGGGAATAATGGCCGATTTCCCACCTAGATTTCTCTTTATCCGATCAAAACAGTCGCTCCGGTCGCCATATTGAATAACATTATTTGTATAGAAGCCGCCGAACAATTCGCGGGCTCAAATGTCCGAGATTTCTGGCCATGGGTTCTAATGATAATTCCTCACGTTTTGTTAAGCAACGTTGCAGTATTAGTACATTAAAACATCCTATTACCGTTTTGGAATAATTTGTTTCGATTTATGTCATTTTATTAGTATAAAATACTCAATCACTGTTATTGCCTTTCTAGTTTTCTTATTGGCTCCTTACTCGCATGTTATTCAGTAAATAAACCCCTTCAGGCAGATGAAGGCCGATACTTAAGAATGATTTTCTAAAAATCACATTATAGTATCAAACACAGACTGCAATGTTTGGGCAACACAGTTTATTGACTAAGAGTAAGACCACCGAAACTGGTTCCAGAGATCAATAAACTAAAAGGCTAAGGGTGGTGCGGGTGGGAAGAAAATCACTAGCTTCGAGCCTAGCTGACAGGTTGAGCAATCTGAAAGCTGAAACCTTGAGATCTAGTTTATTGCTGTTGAGTCTCTACTGGTAATTACCAATCATCACCTAAGGTAATCATTGTACCACTAATTAACAATGGGTATTTGCTGCGAATCTTTTCAAGTTTGTGAAACTTTTACGGTGAATGGCGACTGTATGACATAAGGACGAGTCTTTGCTGCGAAACTTTGTCCCAAAACAGTAATTTACTTTACATGTAATACAGGTCAGTATGCAGGCTGGAAACTTTTTTTCGTATTTTAAAAGTGCCTTGCTGGCAAGTAAACGCTATTTTCTTATGCTGGCTGATTAATCATTTAATTATTTTTTTTTCCTGGCTCGGTCTTCGACATTTTCATAACATTTGGCTGGAATTATTTTAAACGAAGTCTCTCTTCAGCTGACAATGAACAGCGGATATTTTTTCCCCTGGAAAGTTAATTATTAATAGTAATTGACTTGGACACACGCTAAATGTACAGGTAAAGTGTCGTTGGGTACTCCAGACGAGTCTCCCTGTAGCTCAGTTAGAGCATCTGACCGAAGTACGGAAGGTCATGGGTTCGACTCCCGTCGGGGACTCATATGTTTTTCTGTGACCCACGCTCTTAACTGCTCTACTCTGGTCCTCTTAGCTCCCACTGGAGCATAAGGCATCAACAAAACGTCGCCAGTCAGCCCGGTCTTGGGCAAGCCTGCCGGCTGATCTCGTACCAGGTCTTCCCTATCTCCTTTAATTTGTCCGCCATCGTTCTTCTTCATGTGCCCAATGGTGTCCATTTCAATGCTGTACGTGGGTGCCATGATGTATTCATCTGCAGAACATCTTCGTTTCTTTATTTCCTCTGTGATGTTGTTATACCGGTGCAGGCAGAAATTTCCTGGTTGGTCACTCTCTGTTCCCAGCGTGTTCTCAATATCCGTCTAAAGCCTGGTTTTCACTAGCGACGCAATCACAAGCGCAAGCAACATACGCAGACGCAGTAACGTGTTGATTTGTCCTAAACAAAAGGCACTGATGATCAACACGTTACTGCGCTGCACATGTTCCTCTGAGTCGACTCTCAATATTCTTGTTGGTTCTCGAAGTTTCTGAAGTATATAGCATGACTGAACGGACATCGGATCTGTAGATTTTCAGCTTTGTCTTCATATGCAGGCTTTTAGATTTCCAGACGTTGTTAAGTTTGTTGAAGGAGCTTGCTGCCATCCTCGTGGAAATTTCCTTTTCAATGTTACTGTCCGCTGAGATGGAACTGCCAAGATATTTGAAGTCGTTCACCTCTTCTATCTCCTCTCGCACTAAAATCTTTCTCTTGGTGTGGCCAGGTTTTCAGTTTCAAGACCTTAGATTTAGTTGGGTCAGTGTATCTTGAGACCAACAGCTCTTGCTGTCTTATCTACACTGGATGTCTTTGAGACCCCATAAAAGACCCCTAGGCTGGTCACCAGTGGCTTTCCTCGTCACCCAATTTATTGCAACCAAGCTAGAAAAGCAATGGTGACAATATGCAACCCTGCGCACTCTGGTCTTCGCATGGAACCACTCACTCGATCAGTTGCCCATTATATTATACCTTGCACAACACTGATCCCCATCATACATGTCCTTTAGGATGTTGATCACCTTTGATGGGAACCCATATGCATGCAGTAACTTCCATAATGCTGGAGTAGGTAGGGTACAGTTCCATCCAACCCATGAATGACATGCGCATCCTGGGTTTTTGTCGCAGGCTCGCCTTGTCCAAATATCCTAAAGGTCTGGCAGCAGTAAGGCTAAAGTGACGTCAAAACCACACAACCATTTAATCAGAGCACGCGCCATATTATCATTACTTTATAAAGCAACGTGCGATCGTTTTTTAATAGTTAACCAGCTAAGAAATATTTGATTCGCATTGGAATAAAATTCTAAAAGACCTTTAAAATGCCTTTTACAAATGAAGAAATAACGATGTTTTCTCGGAATACTCGGAATAGACGGTGTTCATGTTCTTTTGGGACCTATTCCGTTTGTACTTTGTTGAAAACTTTGCAACAATCGCAACTCGCTCGGGCGCAGACTGAATAGCCAGAATAGTCCCAATAGAGAGGGGAAAAAGTACAAAATAAAACAAGTTCAGGGACCGTTCATTAATTATAGGTCAGGGGGGGGGGGGGGGGGGGAGGGATGGAGGAAAATTAGGAGGGGCCTTGAAAAAAATTACAATAAGAAGGGGGGCTTCCAAAAATATTTGGTCTGATGAGGGGGGTCCTTGAAAAAAAATTAAAGTAGTTTTTTAATCATCTTTTATTCCATTCCATTATTATTTTTATTATCAACGTTAACACATATCATAAGATCATCACAATAATACCAAAAATTAAAGTTGTAATGAAAAACACTTTAATTTGGATTTTTGTCCTTGAATTTGTTTGTTGTCTTGAATTACTAAAATATGCAGTATGCGGTGTTCATTCTCTACAAAGTTTGGAACCATGACCATAAGACTTTGAAAGAGTTTGAAAGATAAACATTTTGGAATATTGTATTCATGTTACGGAAGGAAGGATGACTGGATACAGAGAATTTCAACTCATTTGTTGTTAAGTGGAGTTGTTGACCAAGCGGGCATAATAAATTGTGATTCTGGACATCGCTTTTTAAACGCTTAAAGTTTGTAATATGCACCTCGCTTGTTAATTTTAGATGCATTTTGAATTTAAAAATTCAAAATTTTCCCGTGGGAGAATGCCCCTTGACCCCCTAATTGGCTCACGCCTACGCATTAGCCTCCCCTCCTCCACCCACCACCACCATTCTAAAATCTGCGCGGGCCTTGGCTGGACATAAGAGTGAAGACGAGGAGGAGCCTGACATTTATATGATCCCACAAACAGTCACAAACATGGTCTGTTAGAGTGGCTGGCTTTCAACTTTCACTCTTCACTGAAGATAGCTAGGGGTTTTTTCTTCTGGGTTTTAGATTGTGGGGAAGCTGCGGGCGGGGAGGGGGGGGGGGGGGGGGGTCTGAAGCATATCTCGAGACAATTGGGGGGGTCTTGAATTTTTTTCTTGGTATTGCTTAATTTTCCTCCGGCCCCCCCTGACCTATAATTAATGAACGGTCCCTAACTTAGATTTATGTTATACGACCTAAGTTAAAAATATATTTTATAACCGTTATCGGTCACAAACAGTTAGTGATATATTTTAAAACTAGTTGTTCCATAATCAAGCTAAATCCAAAGACCGAATTATGTGATCACAAGGAAAGATTAGCAGAAAATAGTTCAGAATAGCTTTCGAGATTTAGCTTTCGAAACCAACGTACTTAACGCTATACGCATTGAATCAACGCCCATGCATATTCTTTTTATAGAACAATCAATTAAGGCCCAAATGCATTTTCGTTTGAAAACGCATCGCTCGAAAACGCTACAATAGTCATATGCGCATGCGACAAATAGACGAATGACGTCAGCGTTTTCGAAAGCCTCCGTTTTCGCTTTTCACACTGATGCATTTTCGTTTAGCTCCGTTTTCGAAACGCTCCGTTTTCAAATGTCTTCACTCTGGACAGCGTTTTCAAATGTATGCGTTTTCGATGAAAACACTCAACGTTGTAGTGCGGACGATAGGCGAAAACGCATCGAAAAGTATGCGTACGAAAACGCATCAGTGTGGATAACGGAACTCCGACTTTACCGCCAAAAATCTCTCCGGCTACTTTGGTATTTTGCGGCAAATGACACAAGAAGTTGTGTTATTAGCTCTCGAGTTAATCTCGTCTCCAGATCTTCTCATCACTTTTCAATTCGGGAGACAACAACCGATCATATTCGTTTACTCCACGTGGTAATGTGTCAGGAATGTGAGGCACGACTTAACTGCGCGTGTTAAACGTTTCAAGAAAAAAAACTGGTGGAAAGCAAGCCATTTTCGGATGCGTTATGATACTCACTTAGTGAATGAGAGACGCCCGCCTGAAAAACAAAACAACAAAAAAAACATTTCAAAATCCGCGCGTAAAAAAAATACACAACGCGACTGGAATAGCAATCCATTATCATTAACCAATCAGATTTGACCAGATGTTTCTACCGAAGCGAGAAAAGATCTGGATACGAGATTTTTAAATAGTAAAAAAGCTGTGGAAACATCATGGTTTGACTGTAACTTTATGATTATAGAAACTGTAACAATAATAAATTAAAATCACTTTTTTATATATCAACTAAAAATTAACATGACTGTTGGAAGTTCCTGGTAAATGATTGATTGTCTACATAAGAGCAGATTGTTGGGATAAATGTCATTAACAAGACGTTATAATGTGTTTGTATTTGAAGAATGTCGCTGACACCATGTAACACAAGAGGGTCGCGTAAGTGACAAATCGGTCTTTCGTTCAAACTAGTATCTGTGCTATCACAGAAGACAAATGGCAGGATTCTAGTGTTGTGCACTGGTTTGATGCCAATGTGCCGCATGTAAAGTCCAAAACAAGCGTCTTCAACTGGAATAATAGGAACTTTGTGAGATGCTGTTAAAAGTTTCGGTAAAAGGCTTGCGCTGAAGACGTAACCTCCACCCGAGGCATATGGTGGATACATATGTTTATCAATGTCCATGATAGATACATAATAACGATCCTTTTTATCTCTCACAACTTCCATATTCCGCTGAATATTACCCGCGTATAGCGGCTTTGATCCATTGGTCACGTGATATTCTTGAAGCCACTGCACAAGTGATAGAACATTAACGTAACAATCTTCGTCAGTTTTAAGGATATATTTTGGTTGACAGTATTGCCAAGACCACTGCAGTCCAAATAAGGTCTTGAGAGACAGATTACGGTACGTATCGAGGAAATCTCCTATGACAATGTCTTTGTAAACTTGGGCCTCCTGCCTCAGGAGATTGTTAAGCTTGGAATTGTTGGTTTGGCCAACAAGAAACATAGTTTTCCATGACCTGAAAAAAAAAAAAAGGAAAGGAAGCGCGTTCAGCTAATACAAAAACGCCGGATGCCACTTAGTTGCTTACTATACGTCCCCATGAAGGGTTTTATACTGTTTATACAACATCTTGAGGGCCTTTGAGGGGCCTTATAAGAATACGATGCTTATATCCGAGGGTCTTACAATTGGGATAAAAAAGATCCTTATTTTATCGATAAACAGCCCTGTTATAGTCCCAACAGTTTGATATATTGGGTGGAGTGGGATGCACGATGACATGTTTTTATTTCCAGATAGTCGGATGAGCGCAAATTTTACATCATTTGCCACCCACGTCTAAACATATAGCTCTGAATCATGTCAGAGTCATGTCTTACGCCTCAGTCAAACTTCAGTCGTATTTGGGACGGTCCCAAAATAACAAAACTCCCGATGGTCTGGAATTTTCTCTACCGTGATATGAAAACCAGACCAAAGCAAGCACGACGGCGACAGCAACGAGAACGTCAGGCAAAAGTAGTACAATTGCTCTGCACGTGCATTTTGAAATTTCGCCTGCCTGCAGCAGCTGAAGTTGAAGTTGAAGTCAGCCCATCGTGTAGTGTCTTGCAGGAATTTGTTTTCGGCCCACT